ACTTCAAATACAACATTTGAAATAATTCCAATAAAAAAATGTCGCTAAAATCATCAAAATACCGAATATCGGGAGGTACCGTTATATGGGGGTTATACGAAGACTTGGACCTACTTGGTCCATTTTCTCTTTTAGGCTGTAGTATTCATTACAAACTTCAAATGCGAAATTTGAAACAATTCCGATAAATAATGTCGCTAAAATCATCAAAATACCGAATATCAGGGGGTGCCCTTATATGAGGGCTATATGAAGACGTGGACCTGCACAGACAATTTTCTGTCATAGGTTGTAGAAACTGTTTCGAACTTCAAATACCAAATTTGAAACAATTCTGGTGAATATTGTCGCTAAAATCATCAAAGAACCGAATATTGGAAGATACCGTTATATGGGGGCTATACGAAGACATGGATCTGCACAGACAATATTCTGTCTTAGGCGGAAGTATCCTCTGGAACTTCAAATACCAATTTTTGAAACAAATTCGGTAAGTAATGTCGCTAAAATCATCAAAATACCCTCCATACTATAGCGGAGCTGAGTTCAAAATGGAAATTCAAAATGATCTCACATTAGGCAAATCTGAACCGATCTTGATAAAATTTGACAGAGGTATTCCTTTGTTGTATCTTATATCTGGTATCAAATATCATTGTTGTGGAGTGCATATTACGAATGTAAGGGACTAAATTCAAGACTTTTGGACTGATATTGGCCATTTGGTGCACAATTAACCTGATATAGAATAAATATATTTATATAGAGAAATCCAAAATCTGAACCGATTGTCATAAAACTTGGCATAGGTATTTCTGGGCTGTATCTGATAACTGATACGAAATATCATTGTTGTGGAATGTATATTACGCTTGTGAGGGACTTTAAACCTATGTCTAAACCGATTTTTTCTAAATTTGATGAATTTGCTTCTAGACGGAATTTGGTCGGATGAACCAAAATTCAGTCAATTTGGACTGATATTGGAAATTTGGTGCACAATTAACCCGAAATGGGTTCAAAATATGTATGGGAACTATATCTAAATTTTAACCGATTCTCACCAGTTTCAATGGGGTTCGACCTTGGCGCTAACAAATATTGTTTGGAAAATTTATTCTCAATCGTGTAATAAATGCGACCTGCATTTTGTTCACAAAAACGGACTGACATGCATAAATCATGAAGATTCTATGGTGATCCTCAAATATAAATATTGGTCCATCTCGCTTCCTTCTGTATGTTACAATAAACGCACAAATACATACCACCCTTACCCTGGTGCAGGGCATAAAAACAACATATTGTCTGAGCCTTAAAAATACATTTTATCCAATTTTCCGAAAACTTATGAAATCGAAAAAGCTTTAATTTCGAGTAAATATCGATTTTCAAAAGCATTGGAGAAATAGTGCAAATTTTTCAAAAAAATTAATAGTCCTTGAAAAAAAAGTGTGATTTTTATATCTGATAAATTTTCAAAAAATTATTAATTTATTTTTGTTGTTGTTTTTGTTTTCCCTACGAAGGCCATTACAAATTAATACAAATAAATAGCAAATGCACGTGCCTTTTTTTGTTGACATTCGCAATTAAATTTCGTTTTTTTTTTTTCGTGGAAAAAAATCATCAAAAATAAATAAACAAACGAACAAAATCAAAATATTAACAACTTATTGTTGTCAATTTAATTAAATTAAAAACAAATTGACACAAAATAAAAAAAAAATGTTTTTTTCGCTATGTCATGATTCATGCTGAAGGATGCATAGAGCGGAAGGGATGTGAAAATACTTGTACAAAATTAAAAACATATATTTTTATAAGAAGTATTTCAAAATTTATATAGGAGTAGTTTTAAAATATTTAAATTTTATAATTTTCAAAAAATGTATTCATTTCATAATGTTGAAATTTTTTAATATTGCAATTTTATATTTTTCAAAATTTGTATTTTTTACAATTTTGAAATTTTATAATAATGAAAAAACTATTTTTTATAATTTTGACATTTTTTAATATTAAAATTTTATAATTATAGAACAGTGTTTGGCTTGCTTGTTTGGGATACCATAGTATTTTGTTGTTGCAAAATCGTCAGGCAAAATCCCATTATTGTTGTTTTTATAAAAACAACGTTTGTTTATGAGTGGAGAACGATGGTAATGTTTACCAGGGGGTAAGGCAGGGAATACTTAGGTTTCGGAAAGAGCCACCAATCCTCATCAGTTCCCTTGTTTCTTGTCTGGGATATTCTCCCCAGAAGTTATTTTAAAAATAACTTCTATGACAAAAAACATTTTTTACCCAAGTGACGAGATCGTACGCTCAATAGAAGAGGAACAAAAGAATTATATAAAACTAAAATTCTTTTGGAAAGTCTTCTAAATCTTACAACCGCACTTATAAACATTTACAAGCCAAACAAGCAAGCCAAACACTGTTCTATTAATAGACACAGGCACGGTCGACGAAGGGGTTTTTGTTGTAACAGACAAAACAAACTTACATGGTTATGTTACTTCGTTCAGGTTGAACGAAAGCATAACAAGTGGAGAAAGATGAAAATGTTTATAAGTGCGGTTGTAAGATTTAGAAGATTTTCCAAAAGAATTTTAGTTTTATGTAATTCTTTTGTTCCTCTTCTATTGAGCTTACGATCTCGTCACTTGGGTAAAAAATGTTTTTTGTCATAGAAGTAATTTTTTAAAATAACTTCTGGGGAGAATATCCCAGACAAGAAACAAGGGAACTGATGAGACAGATTTTTTTTTTATAATTTAACAGATTTATAACATAACAGATTTTTTTTTATAATTTTGACATTTTATAATTTAATTTTTTTTATATTTCTCAGATTTTTTTTAATTTTGATTAATTAATTAATTTTTAAATTTAATTCACTTGTTTTGGAAAATTTTCATTAAAACAAAAAAAAAATGGACGTACTATATAGTTTTGGTGTTTTGTAACTCTGAAATTCAAAAATTTTAACATTTCATAATATCGAAATTTTATAATTAAAATAAAATATAATTTTGACACTTTATAGATTTTTGAATTTTATAATTTTTTTGAAAATTTTAATATTGGAATTTTATTATTTTCAAAATATACAATTTTGGAATTTTTTAATTTTCAAAAGATTAATTATTTTCTATAACGTCGAAATCTTTTAGTTTTACCATTTTATAACTGTCAAATTTCATAATTTTGAAATTCTATAGTTTTAGAACTTTTATAATTTTGAAAATATTATAATTTTCAAAAAAAAAAACTTAATGTTTTTTATGGTCTTGAAATTTTATATTTCACTTTTTTTACATTCTATAATATTGGCATTATAGTATTGAAAATTATATAAATTCAAAATTATAAAATTTTTTAAAAATATAAAATTTCATATTTCAATGTTATAAAATGTCAAAAATAGAAATACAAAATTTCAAGACAATAAAATGTCAAAATTATAAAAAACTTGAAAAATTTCCAAAAAAAAGATTTGAATACGTAGACCTGCTTACGAAATTTTGTCATAGGCTATAGTACCCATTACGAACTTCAAATACCAAATTTGAAACAATTCCGGTGAAGAATGTCGCTAAAATCATCAAAATACAGAATATCGTTATAATGGGGCCTATACGAAGACGTGGACCTGCGCAGACAATTTTCTGTCACAGACTGAAGTATTCATTTTGAACTTCAAATACCAAATTTAAAACAATTCCGGTAAATAATCTCGCTAAAATCATCGAAATTCCGAATATCGGGATGTACCGTTATATGGGGCCTGTACGAAAATGTGGACCGACATGGCCCATTTACGAACTTAAGCTGTCTACTGGCAAAATAAACATGTTTGCAAAATTTTAGCCTTCTAACTAAATTCGTTCGAAAGATGGCGAGATTACAACCGACAGACAGACAGACAGACAGACGGACGTGGCTAAATCGACTTAGAATTTTACGCTGATCAAGAATATATATACTACCCTCCATAGGGTATAATTTTTTTTTTTTTTTTTTATAATTGTGATATTTTATCTTTTTGGAATTTCAAAATTTTCAAAATTTATAATTTTGACATTTTTTGATATTGAAATTTTATAATATTGAAACTTTTTGATTTTCCAAAAAAAAAAAAAAAAAATATTAATTTTATAGTTTTTTAGTTTTGAAATTTTATATTTTTGATATTTTTTAATATTCCCATATTATTTCCATTATTATTTAACATTCCAATATTGTAAAATATAAAAATAAAAAAAAGCTATTATAATATGTCAAAATTTAAAATTATAAAATTTGAGAGTTGTAAATTTCTAAAAACTATAAAATGTCAAAATATTTTTCTTATTTTACAAATTTTAAAAAATGTATTTTTTTTTTTATAATTTTGACATATTATTGTCTTGAAATTTAATAATTCTTATCCTCCAATATGTTTTTAAACCATACTTGATACTGAAAACAATAACATAAAGTATTGTTTTCTGTATCAAAAATGATATAAACAAATATTGAAAAATAAAAATTATAAAATTTTACAAATAATTTTGAAATTTTATTATTTTAGAATTTTTTATTATTTTCAATTTTTTATTATAAAATGTAAAAAATGAGATATATACAATTTCACGACAAGAAAATGTAAAAATTATAAAAAAATATTTGTTTTTGAGAATTTAAAACGATTCAAGTTTAATTATTTGGTTTATATGTATAAGGGCGATAAAATCCTTTTAACACAAAATAAATTATTTTTTTATTATTAATATTATAATTTTTTCATTTTCTGTCAGTTCTATATCAAGTTTTTTTGTCTCAAGCACCCTTACAAAATATCCTTTCAATTTCATAAAAAATATCCTCTCAAGTTTAATCGGTCATCCATTATCGTCCTTGTTTTTCTCACTTTGTAACACATGCAATTTGTTTCCTTTCTCCCCATTTATCAATTTCCCCACCCCCCTTTACTCTATCCCCCTTTCACTTACCTTCAACTTGTGTATCTCCCGTCGCAGTTTGACAATCTCAGCATCTCTCGATTTGATCACATCCTTCAGCGAAACAATTTCACCCTGCAAGCTTTTGATTTGTGCATCCTTGTCATCGATGACACTGCAACTTTGGGTCGTGACATTCGGACTGAAACCACACTTCGTGGCCATTGTGTGCGGTGACTGGGGTGAGGGCGGTGAATAGATAAGACCCGGTTGGATGGAAGTAGTGCTGCTTATCATTGCCCCGCCACTACCGCTGGCATTGCTGTGCAATTTTAATGTTAGCGTGGGTGAGGATGCCGTAGTGTTGCTGTTGTTGTTGTAGTTTGTGGCCCCGTTGCTGGTGTTGTTGCTGTTGTTTGTCTTTGGCATTACACTTGCATTGATTGCGATATTTTGATTAATGTTTCCAGTATTGCCAACCGTATTCGAACGTAGAATCATTGACGTTTTACGGATCTGTAAGGAAATGCAAAAAATTGTGAAATTGAAAATTTTAGATATTTTTTTTTTTAAATATTAAATGGACTGTAAATGTGAATCTTTTAAGGAATTATAAAAGTAATTAAGGAAGGAAGTGGCCTTATGCGTTGTTTTTTTTGCGGATTTTTTAAGGATATTAAGTGGCCTTTCAACTTAAATAAAAAATGAATACCAAGGGGCTTTGGATTTTTTAATGAATTTTAAGAAGACCTACGAATAACTGTACTTTGAAAAAATTAATATTAAAGGGTCTTAGATTTTTTATGATTATTTAATGATTGTTAAGGGGTCTCACGAGTAAGGTAATATTTTTTTATTTTTTGTTTGGAGATTTTTTAAGGCATTTTAGATACTTTTACAGCTTGATATTTTAAAAAAACTAAAATTAATTAAAAAAGGTTTAGAGCGTGATTTTTTTAAAATATTTTTTAAAAAAATATTAATTTACACAGGGTGGTGTTTAATTAAGGAATTTTAGAACAATATTATGATGTCTTACAACGTTGATTTTTTTTTTTGTAAATTTAGAAGAATGTTAAGTGTGCTCACAGTGTGGATTTTTTAAGAGTTTAAAAGGAATATTAAAACCTCTCTGACTGTGGATCCACGCTTTATTTTCTTTAAAAAAATATTTTTTAAAAATTCCCGCCTCAGTTTTTCTTTTAAAAAATATTTTTTAAAAAATCACGCTTTATTGTCTTTAAAAAATATTTTTTTTAAGTCCGCGTCCTTGTATTTCTTTGGAAAAATATTTTTTAAAAAATCCACGTCTTTGTATTTCTTAGAAAAAATATTTTTTTAATCTTCGTCTATATTTTTCTTTGAAAAAAATATTTTTTAAAAAATCCATGTCTATGTTTTTCTTTGAAAAAATATTTTTTTAATCCTCGTCTATATTTTTTTTTAAAAAAATATTTTTTTTTTAAAAATCCACGTCTATTTTTTTTTGAAAAATATTTTTTAATCCTCGTCTATGTTTTTCTTTGAAAAATTATTGTTTTAAAAAATCCACGTTTTTGAAAATAATTGAAAAAAATTATCTTTAAAAAATCCACGACTTTTGAAATAATTGAAAAAAATAATTTTTAGAAAATTGATAATAATTGAAAAACATAATTTTTAAAAAATCCACGACTTTTGAAATAATTGAAAAAAATAATTTTTAGAAAATTGATAATAATTGAAAAACATAATTTTAAAAAATCCACGACTTTTGAAATAATTGAAAAAATAATTTTTAGAAAATTGATAATAATTGAAAAACATAATTTTTAAAAAATCCACGATTTTTGAAATAATTGAAAAAAATAATTTTTAGAAAATTGATAATAATTGAAAAACATAATTTTTAAAAAATGCACGACTTTGGAAATAATTGATAAATTATTTTTAAAAAATGCACGTCTTTGGAAATAATTGGAAAAATATTTTTAAAAAATCTACGGTTTGGAAATACTTGGAAAAATATTTTTAAAAAATCTACGTTTTGGAAATACTTGAAAAATATTTTTTTAAAAAATCCACGTCTTTGGAAATAGTTGAATATTTTTTAAAAAATCTACGGTTTGGAAATACTTGGAAAAATATTTTTAAAAAATCTACGTTTTGGAAATACTTGAAAAATATTTTTTTAAAAAATCCACGTCTTTGGAAATAGTTGAATATTTTTTAAAAAATCCAAGCCTTTTTTCTTTGAAAAAATATGTTTTAAAAAATCCAAGCCTTTTTTCTTTGAAAAAATATGTTTTAAAAAATCCAAGCCTTTTTTCTTTGAAAAAATATGTTTTAAAAAATCCAAGCCTTTTTTCTTAGAAAAAATATGTTTTAAAAAATCCAAGCCTTTTTTCTTTGAAAAAATATGTTTTAAAAAATCCAAGCCTTTTTTCTTAGAAAAAATATGTTTTAAAAAATCCACGCCTTTTTTCTTTGAAAAAATATGTTTTAAAAAATCCACGCTTTTTTCTTTGAAAAAATATGTTTTAAAAAATCCACGCCTTTTTTCTTGGAAAAAATATGTTTTAAAAAATCCACGCCTTTTTTCTTGGAAAAAATATGTTTTAAAAAATCCACGCCTTTTTTCTTTGAAAAAATATGTTTTAAAAAATCCACGCCTTTTTTCTTGGAAAAAATATGTTTTAAAAAATCCACGCCTTTTTTCTTTGAAAAAATATGTTTTAAAAAATCCACGCCTTTTTTCTTGGAAAAAATATGTTTTAAAAAATCCACGCCTTTTTTCTTTGAAAAAATATGTTTTAAAAAATCCACGCCTTTTTTCTTTAAAAAATATGTTTTAAAAAATCCACGCCTTTTTTCTTTGAAAAAATATGTTTTAAAAAATCCACGCCTTTTTTCTTTGAAAAAATATGTTTTAAAAAATCCACGCCTTTTTTCTTTGAAAAATATGTTTTAAAAAATCCACGCCTTTTTTCTTTGAAAAATATGTTTTAAAAAATCCACGCCTTTTTTCTTTGAAAAATATGTTTTAAAAAATCCACGCCTTTTTTCTTTGAAAAATATGTTTTAAAAAATCCACGCCTTTTTTCTTTGAAAAATATGTTTTAAAAAATCCACGCCTTTTTTCTTTGAAAAAAATATTTTTTAAAAAATTCAAGCCTTTTTATAAACCTTTGAAAAATAATTTAAAAAAAAATCTAAGTCTCTGTTTTTCCTCGAAAAATATTTTTAAAAAAATCCACGTCTCTGTTTTTCCTCGAAAAATCTTTTTAAAAAAATTCACGTCTTTGTTTTTCTTTAAAAAAATATTTTTTTTAAAAATTCACGTCTTTGTTTTTCTTTAAAAATTATTATTTTTTTAAAAATCCACGTCTTTTTTTCCTTTAAAAAATTATTTTTTTTTAAAAAATCCACGTATTTGTTTTTTTTAAACTATTTTTTTAAAGATCAACGTCTTTGATTTTCCTTGAACATTTTTTTTTTTTAAAGTTTACGTCCTCAGTAATACTTGGAAAAATATTTATTAAAAAATCCACGTCCTCGGTAATGCTTGAAAAAATATTTTTAAAAATTAACGTCTTTAATTTTCTTTGAATTTTTTTTTTTTTTTAAAAGTTTACGCCCTCAGAGATGCTTGGAAAAATATTATTTAAAAAATCCGCGTCCTCGGTAATGCTTGAAAAAATATTTTTTAATTTTCCATGAAAAAAATATTTTTTTTTTAAATATCCTTGAAAAAAATATATTTTTTAAATATCCACGTCCTTGTTTCTCCTTGAAAAAAATATTTTTTTAAAAATTCACGCCTTAAGTAATATTTAAAAAAAAATGTTTTTTAAAAAAATCACGCCTTTAGAAATATTTAAAAAAAAAATATTTTTTAAAAAATTCACGGCTTTAGTAATTCTTGAAAAAATAATTTTTAAAAAATCCACGCCTTTAGTAATTCTTGAAAAAATAATTTTTGAAAAATCCACGCCTTTAGTAATTCTTGAAAAAATAATTTTTAAAAAATCCACGCCTTTAGTAATTCTTGAAAAAATATTGTTTTAAAAAATCCACATCTTTGGAAATAATTGAAAATATTTTTTAAAAAATCGACGTCTATGTTTTTTTTTTGAAATTTTTTTTTTTAAAAAATCAAGGTCTATGTTTTTTTTTTTGAAAAAATTTTTTTTTAATCGTTGTCTATATTTTTCTTTGAAAAATTGCTGTTTTAAAAAATCCACGTCTTTGGAAATAATTGAAAAAAATATTTTTTAAAAAATCCACGCCTTTAGTAATTCTTGAAAAAATATTTTTTTAAAAAATCCACTCCTTTATTAATTCTTGAAAAAATAATTTTTAAAAAATCCACTCCTTTATTAATTCTGGAAAAAATAATTTTTAAAAAATCCACGCCTTTAGTAATTCTTGAAAAAATCTTTTTTAAAAAATCCACTCCTTTATTAATTCTTGAAAAAATAATTTTTAAAAAATCCACGCCTTTAGTAATTCTTGAAAAAATCTTTTTTTAAAAAATCCACTCCTTTATTAATTCTTGAAAAAATATTTTTTAAAAAAAACCCCCCCTTTAGTAATTCTTGAAAAAATATTTTTTTAAAAAAACCCCCCCTTTAGTAATTCTTGAAAAAATATTTTTATAAAAAATCCACGCCTTTAGTAATACTTGAAAAAATATTTTTATAAAAAATCCACGCCTTTAGTAATACTTGAAAAAATATTTTTATAAAAAATCCACGCCTTTAGTAATACTTGAAAAAATATTTTTTTAAAAAATCCACCCCCTTAGTAATACTTGAAAAAATATTTTTTAAAAAATCCACGCTTTTAGTAATACTTGAAAACATATTTTTTAAAAAATCCACGCTTTTTTCTTTGAAAAAATATGTTTTAAAAAATCCACGCCTTTTTTCTTGGAAAAAATATGTTTTAAAAAATCCACGCTTTTTTCTTTGAAAAAATATGTTTTAAAAAATCCACGCCTTTTTTCTTGGAAAAAATATGTTTTAAAAAATCCACGCCTTTTTTCTTGGAAAAAATATGTTTTAAAAAATCCACGCCTTTTTTCTTTGAAAAAATATGTTTTAAAAAATCCACGCCTTTTTTCTTGGAAAAAATATGTTTTAAAAAATCCACGCCTTTTTTCTTTGAAAAAATATGTTTTAAAAAATCCACGCCTTTTTTCTTGGAAAAAATATGTTTTAAAAAATCCACGCCTTTTTTCTTTGAAAAAATATGTTTTAAAAAATCCACGCCTTTTTTCTTTAAAAAAATATGTTTTAAAAAATCCACGCCTTTTTTCTTTGAAAAAATATGTTTTAAAAAATCCACGCCTTTTTTCTTTAAAAAAATATGTTTTAAAAAATCCACGCCTTTTTTCTTTGAAAAAATATGTTTTAAAAAATCCACGCCTTTTTTCTTTGAAAAAATATGTTTTAAAAAATCCACGCCTTTTTTCTTTGAAAAATATGTTTTAAAAAATCCACGCCTTTTTTCTTTGAAAAATATGTTTTAAAAAA